ATAGTTAGTAAATAGCAAATAAGAAGGGAAAATAAAGCTTCAATATCACAAACATTTTGCCATATCACCTTCAAGGCATATATCTACTGGTTACCTGCGAAATATGCAGTGAATGGAGTATCTAAACTGACTACCAGAATCAAACAACTTATCACCAGAAAACATCACAAAAATGATGTTTACAACAATCAATCATCATTCAATATAACTGACATCCTCTTCATCAACTAACAATAGTAGCGCCAATCTCTTCTCAAGATGACGAATCATGTTTTATATTCTAAAGCTGAAAAACCTTCGAAAGAGTTCCAATATAATTTGTTTTTGCAATTACCCCGAAGTCTCACTCAGGTAAATTGTCAAAATAAATCATTCAATCATTCAGTGCTGGAAACAGATAAAGCCAATGTATACATCAAACACGTATAGAAAAACATAGAAAAGTACCTTAATATTCCAGCCGATTTTAATATATATGAATAAGCAATGAGAAAGTACATATAATGATCCTATGTCGAGATTTTTATAATTATAAATATACTAGCGGACGTACCCGGCTTCGCCCGGGTTTTACCCGAGTAAAGGTTTGTCTAACGAATCTCTCAATAAAGTGAACATTTTTTCCCGGTCCCTTGAAAAATACTCGATAAGTTGAATAAAATCAATATTAATTGGTTCCCACGGTAATTGGAAGTTAAAGGAATAGTATCTTGCCTTGGAATTGTATCATTATTCTTGTCTCAAATAAATTGCCGTGTCATCCTGAATTTTGTCTTTCCTAATTTTCTACATTAAAAATCATCGTATCATCATGATAATATTTAGAGCAGATTGTTGAATTATAACAGATAAATTAGAATATTTATTTTGATTATTTTAAAGCGAAAAGTTATTTCAAAAATTTTATTTGCTAGAAACCTTCCCAGTACTATACTAAATAACTTCCCAAAGTTTCATGGCGTTCCAATGAGTGGTTTGGTCAGGCATAAAGGACAAACAGACACACACACATACATTCATTTTTATATATATATAAGATATAAATGAGTTTTAAAAATTGTAAAAAAAAAAATGCATCGGCCGGGAATCTAACCCGGGCCGCCCGCGTGGCAGACGAGCATTCTACCACTGAACCACCGATGCTTAAAAAAAAGGCCATATTTAGGTATTTATTCCATTCTGGATTAGTCCGCGTAAAAAAAAAAATCTTCAAATGAAAAAAAAAAAAAAGAAATAGCCAAAAATACTAATAAAAATGCAGCCGAAATTTTTCTCAGGTTTATAAAAAGCGATATGCAAATTTGGTACCAATTGGTTCAGTAGTTTTTAAGTTTATCGCGAAACAGACAGACAGACATTGACTTTTATATATATAGAGATTATTATATACATATTTTAAATACTTATTATATTATAAAACTATTTTAGAGGCGTAATATTATTATCTCTTATTATATATAATATGGCTGACGGCGGTATTTACATATGTCCCTCTCTCTTTCTTAATGTGTTTGTTGTCAAAGAGTTAGGAAAGGGAGTGAAAAAGGCAACTAACGGCATAAATTAGTAGAAAAAAAAGAAAGCATAGTTGTTGAGATTGGTGAATATATAAAGAAAAAATTGCATATTTCCTGTTGTATATATGTAACAATGGGGCTACACCAGTGTGGGTGGTTGAAGAGGTGCAGGTTGGGCAGTAAGGACAGTAGAAATTGTTTTATTTTAAAAAGAATATTACGCCTCTAAAATAGTTTTATAATTTGATAACAGATGGCGGTCTAATACATCGTAACTTATTATATATTGAGATATCGTTTAACCAGCACGTATCATCCACCATGCACGTATATTTTCAAAATTTTGTTTTTCACACAGAAATAATGTAATAAATAGTTTTCTCTCAATATATTTAATATTATTTAACAGTTGGGAGAGACAGGCCATATCCACAATTTGGATAATTGCGTGTATATTTTAAATTATATACAATTAATACAATTGAACATTGGAAATCATTAAAATTAAACGTTCGATGTCAAATTTTACATATAGCAATTATAAGTAGTAGCTTGAAATATGTACAGTCAACACTTTCGCCTCAAAATATACATCCTGCAGAATCTATTAAACTTGATGTATTGGTCTTTATTGCAAGCAGCTTGTTTTGTATTAGTCAGGTAAAGTTGGTTTTCTTCCCTTAGATCAGAAGTTAATGGACAGTTTATCAGAAGGTGTTCAGGGGTTTGTTGTTCGTTTCCACAAGTGCATGCAGGTGAACCAATTTTGCCAATTCTAAACAAATATGTGTTGAAGTCACCATGTCCAGTAAAAAATTGAACGTTATAGAAGTTGGGTTGAACATAGTTAGGAATTCTTGAAGTATCAAAGAATCCCTTGAAATTATCATTGGCACCTCCATAGTATTCCTCAAATTTCTCGTTTATAAAATTATATATCATTTTTCTTTTAGTTGGATCTGATTTTTTGTATCCAATATTCATTTTTAGTATATTTGTTTCAATAAAATCCGTGAGCTTTGGTGCTCTAGCGACAATATGAGTACAGTTTGAAGATGTTGAATTATAAACCTGTGTACTGTGCTTCAAAATTTTGTACTGCAGAGAGTTTAATTTATCTTTGACTTTTTTGGGTATAAAGTTGTACCAGATCGTGGAACCATAAGTTAGTGAACTTCGAAACAGTGTCTTATAGAGTTATATTCTTCTTTTACTGTCCAGTCCCCATGCTTTCCCGGTTAATCCAATTAGGTATCCACTAGCTCTATTTGTCTTAGTAATAATCTCATCAATATGGGGCACAAAATCCAATTTGTTTTTATTTCTATGATTTTTAAAAGTTATTCCCATAATCTTCAGTTTTTCTACCCGATTGGCAGTGATATCGTTAGGAATTTTTGCAGCTATTTTGCTATTAAACAAGTATAAGATTTTCGTTTTCTCTTCAGATACGGTCAACTTATTGTTCCCACATCAGTCTAATATTCTCCCCATGACCTTTCCTGTTGTATTCCGAAGTTCTGTCAAGTTGTTTCCCCAACATATCACAGTTAATTCATCCGCATAAGCAATGATTTCACTGTTTGATTATGAATAGTTATTCAATAAATCGTTTAGAATAATATTCCATATTGTAGGGGATATAGGCCCACCCTGTGGACATCCCTTGCTTAATTTTTTTGTGGGTTTCATTTGATGAGTATCTAAATCTCACTATTCTATTATTAAGAAAATACTATAGTAGTTTTATTATTGAAGCTTGAACGTTGTCCTCATCTAGTCTTTTCAGCACCATCGGCCACCATGCATTGTCGAACGCTCCACTTATATCAACTGCGATTATAGCTGTATATTCTTTGTTTTTATGTTCTAGAGCTATTTTGACAATTTCATTTAATGCAGAGATAGTAGATCTTGATCTTCTAAATCCATGTTGACGATTGTTAAGCAGATTTGAGTCTTCATAAAATTTTATTAGTTTGTTGTTAATTATTTTTTCAAATATTTTGGAAATGTTTGAGTTGAGACAAATGGGTCTGTAGCTTTTATAAATTTTCATGCCTGTTTTACCTGGTTTGGGAATAATTATTACCTCAGATTTTTTCCATTCATTCGGATAATAATTTAAATCTAAGCATTTTTGAAAAGGTTTCACCAGTATTGGAACTATTAGTTGTTTAGTATGTTTTATCATATTGTTAGAAATATTGTCAATTCCAGGCGTTTTCTTTGAGTTTAGCTCATCAATTATTCCATTTACTTCATTGGGCGTTATTATTATATTTTCTTTATTATGAAATCCAAGAGTATAGTTCCTTATGTTTTTGTGGAAGGTTGTGTCTTCATTATCTCTATCATCGGGGAAAAGGTTGTTCAAAAGTTCTATATAATAAGTATTTAAAATATGCATAGAATAATGTGTATATAAAAATATAATTTATTATTAATATGTTAACGTAATAATCCTGTTGAAGGACTGACAAGTCCGAAAGCTTAAAAATAAAAAGTTGCACAAGAAACTTAACCCTGGAAGCTTCATTTATTTTATAATATAGGTTATTATTTTAATGACAAACACCACTTAAAGCGTTGACGAAATGATATATATATAAGTTGAGACTTGGAGCATAATTATTAAAAATAACATTGAAATTATTGTGAATAGAATGAGTTAACAGTATATACTGTTTTGAAAATAGAGCAACCCATAAATAAATCTTCAATTAAAAAGGCATATATTGGAAAAAAATATCATTTATTTTACCAATATTTTAGTTGGCTGAACGCCTAACTTTATTAAGGTATTATAATACACATTAATATGTTATAATACCTTGATAAAGGTTGACGTTCAGCCAACTGATATATTGGCAAAATAAATGATATTTTGTTCCAATATATGCCTTTTTAATTAAAGTATATACTGTTTACCGATACTGTCAGCATACAGGTCCCCAGGAGAACATACGGCCATGAAATTCCCCAGATACATCTTCGTGGAGTTTATTAGAAAAATAAAAAGAGGGAAATTCTGTTTAAATATCACTTGAATATTACATATATAATAATTTAAAATTCTGGATGTATTCAAATTACATTTTCAAAAATATTTTCCAATATACTTTCGATGTATTTATATTATCAAATAAAAATATTTATTATAATAAAGTTTACATGTTGCTTAAATGGTTATTTCAAAATAAGAAAACACACTAGAAATATGGAAATCTCTTTTTTTTTCAGGATATATCTCTATATATATAAAAGTCAATTTCTGTCTGTCTGTCTGTTTCGCGATAAACTCAAAAACTACTGAACCAATTGGTACCAAATTTTGCATGTCGCTTTTTATAAACCTGAGGAAAATTTTCGGCTGCATTTTGATTAGTATTTTTGGCTATTTCTTTTTTTCATTTGAAGAACTTTTTTTTACGCGGACTAATCCGGAATGTAATGAATACCTAAATATGGCCATTTTTTAAAACATCGGTGGTTCAGTGGTAGAATGCTCGCCTGCCACGCGGGCGGCCAGGGTTCGATTCCCGGCCGATGCATTTTTTTAAAAACAATTTTTAAAACTCATATATATTATATCTTCTATATATTTATAAACTATCGAATGTGTACTCGGCTTCGCCGGGTTTTATCCGAGTTAAAGTTTTCCTAACGAATATTCCGGAACACAGAATATTATGATAATAATATTCGTTACATTATATATCATCACATACAATGTAAGTTTTTTATATAAACAAACGATAATAAACAACAGCAACAATGTAATTTGCATCTTCACTATTGTAAAACAACAACAAACTAAATTAACAATGCAAAAATATATATTAACATTTAACACAAAAACGTTACAATATTTTCTTTAAATATATATTAATATTGAAATTCCAAGTTTTTTTACGTCATTGGAATATTATATTACGAAATTCTCAAATCAAATTTATTATACTTGGAACACATTTTAAGCATTGTTACAATTTATAAATATAATTTCACTAGATGCCGCTAGAGGCGCTGCTTGCGAGTGAAGTAGAAAATTTGCAAATAAAATTGCAAAGGATATTTTATTTCAAACCAAATTCAAACCAGAAACCTTCCCAGTAGAATAGTAAATAACTTCTTAAAGTTTCACGGCGATTGGATAATCTTACCTTTTAAAAACATTCATCATGTGAACAAACTAACATTCATCGTGTAAACAAACCACGTGTTAATTATTAACAAATCAAATTCATTTATCGTCGCGACCAGTGCTGCGCCCAAGCGGTGAAAGGCTGGAACTAACGCTTTTTTGTTTTATATTATTTTAAAAAAGCACATTAACCTTTTTAGTTTTTTGAATAGCCTATATGTTAAAACGAAATCTTCAGCTACCTACATGCGAAATTTCATAATGATTTATTCTGTAGATTTTGCGCAACGCGATAACAAACATCGATTTTGGATTTCATTTTTATAGATATAAGGATTATTATTCTAATATATAACTACATACAACTATCTGAATATCAAAATCTCTAAAGCGATAAGTTTTCACAGTTCAAACATTCCAACCAAATGTCTTCAACCTTTGAACCATCCCGTTATTTCATGTTTGAAGGAATACTTATCCTAATGTCTAGATATTCTGGAAGAGAGAGAATGTATACAACTCTCTCTCTCTCTCAAAATCCACTAATAATTGTGGATGCTATAAATTGATCTCACTTCCACGTCGGCCTCTATCAAACAGAATAAGATGTCTATTTGCTATATCAATCCAACACCAATTTTACCACCATAACTCCATCTGCTGTGACGGTGATTACGAGAAAACGGATCGCTGTTAAAGTTACTAACAAATTTTTCACGTCTCTCAGTATCATAACATCATAGATAATTTTAGAGTGGTTAAACTGGCATTATTAAGCCAACCTACTAGAGATACTAGATCACTCAATCGCTTAGTATTAGTAAAAACAATAATTTCATTTTGCACAGAAGGGACTCAAGAGAAGTGTTAGCTAAAAATATATTATTTTATTATTTATAAACCTTTCTCAATCAGTGTATTGACTAACCACGGGAAAATAAAACATACATTATGGTGCTTAAAATAATTCGGAGAATCAACGGCGAAACCTATACTAAATCCGATTTATTTCGTCATTTTCTAGGCATTTTTAAAAAACCAAAAGAATGCACCACGAAAGCAACCTTTCGAAACAAGATACAACTATATATATATATATTATAAGAGATATCCTATGGAACTAACTTCTGAAAAGAATATCCCGATTACTTTGTTCGAACCAGAGAACAAAGTGCTAATTATGATTGGGATTATATAAGAAAGCCATAGTATCTTCATTCTTTCTTGTAGTATTAATCTGTATCATTTTGATCCAATATACTACGACCTTTAATAACGTTATTCTTCTGAAACATCTACATAGATATCAAACACTTTCTCCTCTAACAAACAACCTCAATTTTTTTCTCTGTCAGAGATGTATTGAAAAACATTTTTTTCCCATAGCAATCAACATGGTTTACCTCCATAGCAATCAAAATTTGTGAATGTATCGGTCTTGGTCGACAAATATCAATGGGAAACATACAAAGAGTTTTCAAATATAATATTATATAGAACAAGTCGTATAAATATCTATAATTATTAAGAATAAAAAGACAAACGAGAGAAACATATTGCAAAGCATTTCTTGACACGTAAATTATATTATTACTGAGTCAAATTAAAGGCAGGATCTTCATCCTTTGGTTTCTACAGGCTCGTATCAAATTTATGGGAAACATTCTCTTATCTAAGACTTAACTGTTGAGTGTCGCATAACCCAAACATCGGGAGGATATTTCCTGTTTACCTTTTGACCGGCTCATCGGAAGCTGAAAGAAAGAGACGCCTTATAGCCTCTCTCTTCATGTAGGTTGAGTCCAATTATTTGTGTGACAGTCAGCACCATTGCTAGATACCTTATTGACCAATATGTCATACACCTTACTTTATAAATAATCTCTATATATGAATATAGCCTAAAGATTCTAATCGTGCATAAACCAATATTAATCTGATAAACCCACGAATTCTATTCTGCAGGGAAAACAAACTTTAAACTTATATGTATAAAAGTGCCTTTTCTTAACTTATATGTAGGTAAAGACGTGAGGGGAAATTCGTTATGCACAAAACCTTTTCTCCTTAACAAAGAGTTGGCTCTGTATTGGTTGGAAGTGGGGAATAAATCAATTTGTGCTTCGCTTAAACAAAAAAAAAAAAAACAACCGTGGTTGATTATAGGCAACCCAGTATTGTTGAACTTCTTTGGTCATAATCTCTTCCAAGTTGTAGCTCACAGTCTGACACTGGAAAATAAAGGTATCTTTTCGAAATGGCTCATACTGCTGTAATCACATTGAAAGAAGAGAACAATATGCTTAACGTTAAGTTTGATGCCCAGCTCAATTTTGCGATCTGCGAATTGGGTCAAATGAAAGTAGAGCTGGAAACCATTAGAGAAAAGTTAGTGAAGAAAATAAAGGAGGCTCATAGTACTGGCTATCTCTTTGAACAACTATCCATCAAAGGCTAGCTCCTCACGTCAACTCCTAAATTAAAGAAAAGGATGCCTGCTGGAAGAAGAACATCTTCGTGTACATAAAGATATGCAGAATGACATGAAGAAAAAAGAATCTCAACATATAAGGACGAATATATTTAAGTGTATCATTTCCTCTCGTGTTTTAAATATATTTAAAAGTATATATATCTCAAAATTATAATCTGGAAAATATATATGGATGACATCATTTGTTATAGTGAAATAACAAGCTTAACAATATTCTAATTTAAAGCCATTTTTAACCTTTACATATTAAATATAAAATAGCATATCTTTGGCATTTTCTAGACATCAGGCTTACCAGAATCTATAGTAAAATAGAAACCAGAATATATAGAAAAAGGTAGAAAAAAAGAAAGATAGGTCACCGTGCTAGAAGCAAGGTGTGCTCAACTTAGGCTCCAACCAAGGTAGTGTCCGCTCCATCATGTGATATACAAAGGTACCTCCTCCAGTCTCATCACTCTCTCCCTTTCGCAAAGTCTATTTTCTATCCCATCCAGGTCTGCTCGTTATTCCCCTGTGGAAAACCACCATTCGACCAAGACTGCGCCACCAATCACCAATCCAATCAAATCCACCCAACCACACAATTCACCATGATTCAAACGGGTTGTTACAGTCAACAGCAATTCTACAAGGTAAGCACCAATCTCACAGTAAGTCGACAGGAGTCAACAGGATCCCACAGTAAGTCGACAGGTTCAATCGAAATATTATAGAGAGCCGACAGGATCAATCGAAATATTATATATATATATACTAGTGTTGCGATTAGGTGCCACAGCGTTTTTAACTACCCTGGGCCTAATCCGTTCTAGTAGCCTGAGAAGATCTTGTTTGCTTTCAATTTTGGTAGTGGCCAGCTGGTCCTGAATATGCGAGGGAAGTCCATGCATAACCCCAATAATCAGCAATTCCTCAATGAGACCCGGCATTCCTCCAACTGCATTTTTCTTTGCTTCTTGTAAAAATACCCAACCGAAGAGCCTCCCTGATACCTCTATCTAAAAGCGTAATCATATTTATCTATTGGGTTTTCCTCAAAAGAACAAACAAATTCACGCTTCCACTCTTCCCAACAGTAATCGTTTACATCTTGAAATTTATAATCAAACCGGAGGAGTTTCGTTTAAGTAAGAACGCATACTGTTGATCTTGGCACTCACCCATTCATTGTTTCTACAAATGTTTTCATACGATGTCATCCAAATCTTGAGGTCAATATTATTTCCATTAAAAATAGCTGCATCTAGTTTGACTGATTTACATCTAGTTATTTCACTCTGATTTTTAAGAAGCAATTGGGTTATTAAAATTTGCTGTTCTGTCATGACTCGAACTAGGTTTTCAATACTTGTAGCTGAGGTTATTTTATCTCCTTCAGGACAATCCAATTCTTCATCTTCTATATCTTGCATAGCAACAGATAATAATGTATCGAATTTCTTATCCACATAACATTGAATGACATTTTTTGGAACTCCCACAAATATATTTGAATCCTTCTGGAGGTAGTAAGAAGTAGGACGTGTACCGCATTTAAACAACACTTCATGATGAACAGGCGATTGATATTCTTCGGGAATTTCAAATATTTCACCGGTAGGGTTAAAACTAAATATAAATAATTTTATACTTGTTGGAAGTATAAAACTATGGATACTGTCTGTGGCGTCATACTTGTTATATTCCTATTTATTAAATTAACGTACGTAAGAAGAAAAAGATAAATTAACTTTATTATTCGACGAACAAAAAAAGGCAACAATAGCTATTGGATGCGCGCGCATCTTGTGACGTCACTCAAGCGCGAAGGGCGTGCGCAGCGGGGAAAACAATTTATAGCTTTCTCTCCTTCCATTCTTTTCTTCTTTTATATTGCAAGGTATATTACAGGTTAGTAAATCGTGATTGAA